CATAGGATTGCATGCCATCAGATATATCAGAGTGCCATCAGGATTGGCATGCCTCAGGGTTGCATGCCATCAGGATTGCATGCCATCAGGATTGCATGCTCAGGATTGCATGCCATCAGGATTGCATGCCATCAGGATTGCATGCCGTCAGGATTGCACGCCATCAGGATTGCATGCCATCAGGATTGCATGCCCAGGATGCATGCATCAGAGATTGCATGCTCAGTTGCATGCCGTCAGGATTGCACGCCATCAGGATTGCATGCCGTCAGGATTGCATGCCATCAGGATTGCATGCCATCAGGATGTTGCCATCAGGATTGCATCCATCAGGATTGCATGCATCAGATGGCATGCTATCAGGATTGCATGCCATCAGGATTGCATGCCATCAGGATTGCGTGCCATCAGGATGGCATGCCATCAGGACTGCATGCCAATCAGGATTGCGTGCCATCAGGATGGCATGCCATCAGGACTGCATGCCATCAGGATTTGCCTATGCATGCCTATCAGGATTGCATGCCATCAGGATTGCATGCCATCAGGATTGCACGCCGTCAGGATTGCACGCTGTCAGGATTGCATGCCGTCAGGATTGCATGCCATCAGGATTGCATGCCATCAGGATTGCATGCCATCAGGACTGCATGCCATCAGGATTGCATGCCATCAGGACTGCATGCCATCAGGATTGCATGCCATCAGGATGGCATGCCATCAGGACTGCATGCCATCAGGATTGCATGCTATCAGGATTGCATGCCATCAGGATTGCATGCCATCAGGATTGCATGCCATCAGGCTTGCGTGCCATCAGGATTGCATGCCATCAGGATTGCATGCCCTCAGGATTGCACGCCATCAGGATTGCACGCCATCAGGATTGCATGCCGTCAGGATTGTACGCCATCAGGATTGCATGCCATCAGGATTGCATGCCATCAGGATTGCATGCCATCAGGATTGCATGCCATCAGGATTGCATGCCATCAGGATTGCATGCCGTCAGGATTGCACGCCATCAGGATTGCATGCCATCAGGATTGCATGCCATCAGGATGGCATGCCATCAGGATTGCATGCCATCAGGATTGCATGCCATCAGGATTGCATGCCATCAGGGTTGCATGCCATCAGGATTGCACGCCATCAGGATTGCATGCCGTCAGGATTGCATGCCATCAGGATTGCATGCCATCAGGATTGCACGCTGTCAGGATTGCACGCTGTCAGGATTGCATGCCGTCAGGATTGCATGCCATCAGGATTGCATGCCATCAGGATTGCATGCCATCAGGACTGCATGCCATCAGGATTGCATGCCATCAGGACTGCATGCCATCAGGATTGCATGCCATCAGGATGGCATGCCATCAGGACTGCATGCCATCAGGATTGCATGCTATCAGGATTGCATGCCATCAGGATTGCATGCCATCAGGATTGCACGCCGTCAGGATTGCACGCTGTCAGGATTGCATGCCGTCAGGATTGCATGCCATCAGGATTGCATGCCATCAGGATTGCATGCCATCAGGACTGCATGCCATCAGGATTGCATGCCATCAGGGACTGCATGCCATCAGGATTGCATGCCATCAGGATGGCATGCCATCAGACTGCATGCCATCAGGATTGCATGCTATCAGGATTGCATGCCATCAGGATTGCATGCCATCAGGATTGCATGCCATCAGGATTGCGTGCCATCAGGATTGCATGCCATCAGGATTGCATGCCCTCAGGATTGCACGCCATCTGGATTGCACGCCATCAGGATTGCATGCTGTCAGGATTGTACGCCATCAGGATTGCATGCCATCAGGATTGCATGCCATCAGGATTGCATGCCATCAGGATTGCATGCCATCAGGATTGCATGCCATCAGGATTGCATGCCGTCAGGATTGCACGCCATCAGGATTGCATGCCATCAGGATTGCATGCCATCAGGATGGCATGCCATCAGGATTGCATGCCATCAGGATTGCATGCCATCAGGATTGCATGCCATCAGGATGGCATGCCATCAGGACTGCATGCCATCAGGATTGCATGCTATCAGGATTGCATGCCATCAGGATTGCATGCCATCAGGATTGCACGCCGTCAGGATTGCACGCTGTCAGGATTGCATGCCGTCAGGATTGCATGCCATCAGGATTGCATGCCATCAGGATTGCATGCCATCAGGACTGCATGCCATCAGGATTGCATGCCATCAGGACTGCATGCCATCAGGATTGCATGCCATCAGGATGGCATGCCATCAGGACTGCATGCCATCAGGATTGCATGCTATCAGGATTGCATGCCATCAGGATTGCATGCCATCAGGATTGCATGCCATCAGGATTGCGTGCCATCAGGATTGCATGCCATCAGGATTGCATGCCATCAGGATTGCATGCCATCAGGGTTGCATGCCATCAGGATTGCACGCCATCAGGATTGCATGCCGTCAGGATTGCATGCCATCAGGATTGCATGCCATCAGGATTGCATGCCATGAGGATTGTATGCCATCAGGACTGCATGCCATCAGGACTGTATGCCATCAGGATTGCGTGCCATCAGGATTGCATGCCATCAGGATTGCATGCCATCAGGATTGCATGCCATCAGGATTGCATGCCATCAGGCAGGATGGCATGCCATCAGGACTGCATGCCATCAGGATTGCATGCCATCAGGATGGCATGCCATCAGGACTGCATGCCATCAGGATTGCATGCTATCTGGATTGCATGCCATCAGGATTGCATGCCATCAGGATTGCATGCCATCAGGATTGCACGCCATCAGGATTGCATGCCGTCAGGATTGCACGCCATCAGGATTGCATGCCATCAGGATGGCATGCCATCAGGATGGCATGCCATCAGGACTGCATGCCATCAGGATTGCATGCTATCAGGATTGCATCCATCAGGATTGCATGCCATCAGGATTGCATGCCATCAGGATTGCATGCCATCAGGATTGCATGCCGTCAGGATTGCATGCCGTCAGGATTGCATGCCATCGGGATTGCATGCCATCAGGATTGCATGCCATCAGGATTGCATGCCATCAGGATTGCATGCCATCAGGATTGCATGCCATCAGGGATTGCATGCCATCAGGATGGCATGCCATCAGGATTGCATGCCATCTGGATTGCATGCCATCAGGATTGCATGCCATCAGGATTGCATGCCCATCAGGGTTGCATGCCATCAGGATTGCACGCCATCAGGATTGCATGCCGTCAGGATTGCATGCCATCAGGATGGCATGCCATCAGGACTTCATGCCATCAGGATTGCATGCCATCAGGATTGCATGCCCTCAGGATTGCATGCCATCAGGATTGCATGCCATCAGGATTGCATGCCATCAGGATTGCATGCCATCAGGATTGCATGCCATCAGGGTTGCATGCCATCAGGATTGCACGCCATCAGGATTGCATGCCGTCAGGATTGGCATGCCATCAGGATGGCATGCCATCAGGACTTCATGCCATCAGGATTGCATGCCATCAGGATTGCATTGCCCTCAGGATTGCATGCCATCAGGATTGCATGCCATCAGGATTGCATGCCATCAGGATTGCATGCCATCAGGATTGCATGCCATCAGGGTTGCATGCCATCAGGATTGCACGCCATCAGGATTGCATGCCGTCAGGATTGCATGCCATCAGGATTGCATGCCATCAGGATTGTATGCCATCAGGATTGCATGCCATCAGGATTGCATGCCATCAGGATTGCATGCCATCAGGATTGCATGCCATCAGGATTGCATGCCATCAGGATTGCATGCCATCAGGATTGCATGCCATCAGGATTGCATGCCATCAGGATTGCATGCCATCAGGATTGCATGCCATCAGGATTGCATGCCATCAGGATTGCATCCGCAGGATTGCATGCCATCAGGATTGCATGCCATCAGGATTGTATGCCATCAGGATTGCATGCCATCAGGATTGCATGCCATCAGGATGGCATGCCATCAGGATTGCATGCCATCAGGATTGCATGCCATCAGGATGGCATGCCATCAGGATGCATGCCATCAGGATTGCATGCCATCAGGATTGCATGCCATCAGGATTGCACGCCATCAGGATTGCATGCCACAGGATTGCATGCCATCAGGATTGCATGCCATCAGGATTGCATGCCATCAGGATTGCATGCCATCAGGATGCATGCCATCAGGGTTGCATGCCATCAGGATTGCATGCCATCAGGATTGCATGCCGTCAGGATTGCATGCCATCAGGATGCATGCCATCAGGATTGCATGCCATCAGGATTGCACGCTGTCAGGATTGCATGCCGTCAGGATTGCATGCCATCAGGATTGCATGCCATCAGGATTGCATGCCATCAGGATTGCATGCCATCAGGATTGCATGCCATCAGGACTGCATGCCATCAGGATTGCATGCCATCAGGATTGCATGCCATCAGGATGCATGCCATCAGGATTGCATGCCATCAGGATTGCATGCCATCAGGATTGCATGCCATCAGGATTGCACGCCGTCAGGATTGCACGCTGTCAGGATTGCGCCGCAGGATTGCATGCCATCAGGATTGCATGCCATCAGGATTGCATGCCATCAGGATGCATGCCATCAAGGATGGCATGCCATCAGGACTGCATGCCATCAGGATTGCATGCCATCAGGATGGCATGCCATCAGGACTGCATGCCATCAGGATTGCATGCTATCAGGGATTGCATGCCATCAGGATTGCATTGCCATCAGGATTGCACGCCGTCAGGATGCACGCTGTCAGGATTGCATGCCGTCAGGATTGCATGCCATCAGGATTGCATGCCATCAGGATTGCATGCCATCAGGACTGCATGCCATCAGGATTGCATGCCATCAGGACTGCATGCCATCAGGATTGCATGCCATCAGGATGGCATGCCATCAGGACTGCATGCCATCAGGATTGCATGCTATCAGGATTGCATGCCATCAGGATTGCATGCCATCAGGATTGCATGCCATCAGGATTGCGTGCCATCAGGATTGCATGCCATCAGGATTGCATGCCCTCAGGATTGCACGCCATCAGGATTGCACGCCATCAGGATTGCATGCCGTCAGGATTGTACGCCATCAGGATTGCATGCCATCAGGATTGCATGCCATCAGGATTGCATGCCATCAGGATTGCATGCCATCAGGATTGCATGCCATCAGGATTGCATGCCGTCAGGATTGCACGCCATCAGGATTGCATGCCATCAGGATTGCATGCCATCAGGATGGCATGCCATCAGGATTGCATGCCATCAGGATTGCATGCCATCAGGATTGCATGCCATCAGGATGGCATGCCATCAGGACTGCATGCCATCAGGATTGCATGCTATCAGGATTGCATGCCATCAGGATTGCATGCCATCAGGATTGCACGCCGTCAGGATTGCACGCTGTCAGGATTGCATGCCGTCAGGATTGCATGCCATCAGGATTGCATGCCATCAGGATTGCATGCCATCAGGACTGCATGCCATCAGGATTGCATGCCATCAGGACTGGATGCCATCAGGATTGCATGCCATCAGGATGGCATGCCATCAGGACTGCATGCCATCAGGATTGCATGCTATCAGGATTGCATGCCATCAGGATTGCATGCCATCAGGATTGCATGCCATCAGGATTGCGTGCCATCAGGATTGCATGCCATCAGGATTGCATGCCCTCAGGATTGCACGCCATCAGGATTGCACGCCATCAGGATTGCATGCCGTCAGGATTGTACGCCATCAGGATTGCATGCCATCAGGATTGCATGCCATCAGGATTGCATGCCATCAGGATTGCATGCCATCAGGATTGCATTAGGCTTGAGCAACGGGTCGGGTCGGGTCGGGTAACCCGACCCGAACCCGACTTTTTGACGGGTCGGGTCGACATTTGCGGAAGGTTGACCCGACCCTCGGGTACCCGACCCGACCCGACCCGACCCGACCGATAAAACCCGACCCGTCGGGTCGGCTTATTACCCGTCCCTGCCCCTATGCCAACCCGACCCGACCCGACCCGAAATCGGGTTAGGTAGAACCCGACCTATTGAACACGGGTCGGGTTGACATTTCCTGAACTCCGACCCGACTTGACCCGACCCGACCCGACCCGAACCCGACATCGGGTAGGGCAAAGTCGGGTCGGGTCGGGTCGGGTCGGGTTCATGCTCAAGCCTAGATTGCATGCCATCAGGATTGCATGCCGTCAGGATTGCACGCCATCAGGATTGCATGCCATCAGGATTGCATGCCATCAGGGTTGCATGCCATCAGGATTGCACGCCATCAGGATTGCATGCCGTCAGGATTGCATGCCATCAGGATTGCATGCCATCAGGATTGCACGCCGTCAGGATTGCATGCCATCAGGATGGCATGCCATCAGGACTGCATGCCATCAGGATTGCATGCTATCAGGATTGCATGCCATCAGGATTGCATGCCATCAGGATTGCACGCCATCAGGATTGCACGCCGTCAGGATTGCACGCTGTCAGGATTGCATGCCGTCAGGATTGCATGCCATCAGGATTGCATGCCATCAGGATTGCATGCCATCAGGATTGCATGCCATCAGGACTGTATGCCATCAGGATTGCATGCCATCAGGACTGCCTGCCATCAGGATTGCATGCCATCAGGATTGCATGCCATCAGGATTGCATGCCATCAGGATTGTATGCCATCAGGACTGCATGCCATCAGGACTGTATGCCATCAGGATTGCGTGCCATCAGGATTGCATGCCATCAGGATTGCATGCCATCAGGATTGCATGCCATCAGGCAGGATGGCATGCCATCAGGCCTGCATGCCATCAGGATTGCATGCCATCAGGATGGCATGCCATCAGGACTGCATGCCATCAGGATTGCATGCTATCAGGATTGCATGCCATCAGGATTGCATGCCATCAGGATTGCATGCCATCAGGATTGCACGCCATCAGGATTGCATGCCGTCAGGATTGCACGCCATCAGGATTGCATGCCATCAGAATGGCATGCCATCAGGACTGCATGCCATCAGGATTGCATGCTATCAGGATTGCATGCCATCAGGATTGCATGCCATCAGGATTGCATGCCATCAGGATTGCATGCCATCAGGATTGCATGCCATCAGGATTGCATGCCGTCAGGATTGCACGCCATCAGGATTGCATGCCATCAGGATTGCATGCTATCAGGATAGCATGCCATCAGGATTGCATGCCATCAGGATTGCATGCCATCAGGATTGCATGCCATCATGATGGCATGCCATCAGGATTGCATGCCATCAGGATTGCATGCCATCAGGATTGCATGCCATCAGGATTGCATGCCATCAGGGTTGCATGCCATCAGGATTGCACGCCATCAGGATTGCATGCCGTCAGGATTGCATGCCATCAGGATTGCATGCCATCAGGATTGCATGCCATCAGGATTGCATGCCATCAGGATTGCATGCCATCAGGATTGCATGCCATCAGGACTGCATGCCATCAGGATTGCATGCCATCAGGATTGCATGCCATCAGGATTGCATGCCATCAGGATTGCATGCCATCAGGATTGCATGCCATCAGGATTGCACGCCATCAGGATTGCATGCCGTCAGGATTGCATGCCGTCAGGATTGCACGCCATCAGGATGGCATGCCATCAGGATTGCATGCCACCAGGATTGCATGCCATCAGGATGGCATGCCATCAGGACTGCATGCCATCAGGATTGCATGCCATCAGGATGGCATGCCATCAGGATTGCATGCCATCAGGATTGCATGCCATCAGGATTGCATGCCATCAGGATTGCATGCCATCAGGGTTGCATGCCATCAGGATTGCACGCCATCAGGATTGCATGCCGTCAGGATTGCATGCCCTCAGGATTGCATGCCATCAGGATTGTATGCCATCAGGATTGCATGCCATCAGGATTGCATGCCATCAGGATGGCATGCCATCAGGACTGCATGCCGTCAGGATTGCATGCCATCAGGATTGCATGCCATCAGGATTGTATGCCATCAGGATTGCATGCCATCAGGATTGCATGCCATCAGGATGGCATGCTATCCGGATTGCATGCCATCAGGATTGCATGCCATCAGGATTGCGTGCCATCAGGATTGCATGCCATCAGGATGGCATGCTATCAGGATGGCATGCCATCAGGACTGCATGCCATCAGGATTGCATGCTATCAGGATTGCATGCCATCAGGATTGCACGCCATCAGGATTGCACGCCGTCAGGATTGCACGCCGTCAGGATTGCATGGCGTCAGGATTGCATGCCCTCAGGATTGCATGCCATCAGGATTGCATGCCATCAGGACTGCATGCCATCAGGATGGCATGCCATCAGGACTGCATGCCATCAGGATTGCATGCCATCAGGATTGCATGCCATTAGGATTGCATGCCATCAGGATTGCATGCTATCAGGATTGCATGCCATCAGGATTGCATGCCATCAGGATTGCATGCCATCAGGATGGCATGCCATCAGGACTGCATGCCATCAGGATTGCATGCTACAGGATTGCATGCCATCAGGATTGCATGCCATCAGGATTGCATGCCATCAGGATTGCATGCCATCAGGATTGCATGCCATCAGGATGGCATGCCATCAGGACTGCATGCCATCAGGATTGCATGCTATCAGGATTGCATGCCATCAGGATTGCATGCCATCAGGATTGCACGCCATCAGGATTGCACGCCGTCAGGATTGCACGCTGTCAGGATTGCATGCCGTCAGGATTGCATGCCATCAGGATTGCATGCCATCAGGATTGCATGCCATCAGGATTGCATGCCATCAGGACTGCATGCCATCAGGATTGCATGCCATCAGGACTGCCTGCCATCAGGATTGCATGCCATCAGGATTGCATGCCATCAGGATTGCATGCCATCAGGATTGTATGCCATCAGGACTGCATGCCATCAGGACTGTATGCCATCAGGATTGCGTGCCATCAGGATTGCATGCCATCAGGATTGCATGCCATCAGATGCATCAGGATGCATGCCATCAGGACTGCATCGCCATCATCAGGATGGCATGCCATCAGGACTGCATGCCATCAGGATTGCATGCCATCAGGATGGCATGCCATCAGGACTGCGTGCCATCAGGATTGCATGCTATCAGGATTGCATGCCATCAGGATTGCATGCCATCAGGATTGCATGCCATCAGGATTGCACGCCATCAGGATTGCATGCCGTCAGGATTGCACGCCATCAGGATTGCATGCCATCAGGATGCATGCCATCAGGATGGCATGCCATCAGGACTGCATGCCATCAGGATTGCATGCCATCAGGATTGCATGCCATCAGGATTGCATGCCATCAGGATTGCATGCCATCAGGATTGCATGCCATCAGGATTGCATGCCGTCAGGATTGCATGCCGTCAGGATTGCACGCCATCAGGATTGCATGCCATCAGGATTGCATGCCATCAGGATTGCATGCCATCAGGATTGCATGCCATCAGGATTGCATGCCATCAGGATTGCATGCCATCAGGATTGCATGCCATCAGGGTTGCATGCCATCAGGATTGCACGCCATCAGGATTGCATGCCGTCAGGATTGCATGCCATCAGGATGGCATGCCATCAGGACTGCATGCCATCAGGATTGCATGCCATCAGGATTGCATGCCCTCAGGATTGCATGCCATCAGGATTGCATGCCATCAGGATTGCATGCCATCAGGATTGCATGCCATCAGGATTGTATGCCATCAGGATTGCATGCCATCAGGATTGCATGCCATCAGGATGGCATGCCATCAGGACTGCATGCCATCAGGATTGCATGCCATCAGGATTGCATGCCATCAGGATTGCATGCCATCAGGATTGCATGCCATCAGGATTGCATGCCAACAGGATTGCATGCCATCAGGATTGCATGCCGTCAGGATTGCACGCCATCAGGATTGCATGCCATCAGGATTGCATGCCATCAGGATGGCATGCCATCAGGATTGCATGCCATCAGGATTGCATGCCATCAGGATTGCATGCCGTCAGGATTGCACGCCATCAGGATTGCATGCCGTCAGGATTGCATGCCATCAGGATTGCATGCCATCAGGATTGTATGCCATCAGGATTGCATGCCATCAGGATTGCATGCCATCAGGATGGCATGCTATCAGGATTGCATGCCATCAGGATTGCATGCCATCAGGATTGCGTGCCATCAGGATGGCATGCCATCAGGATGGCATGCCATCAGGACTGCATGCCATCAGGATTGCGTGCCATCAGGATGGCATGCCATCAGGACTGCATGCCATCAGGATTGCATGCTATCAGGATTGCATGCCATCAGGATTGCATGCCATCAGGATTGCACGCCGTCAGGATTGCACGCTGTCAGGATTGCATGCCGTCAGGATTGCATGCCATCAGGATTGCATGCCATCAGGATTGCATGCCATCAGGATGCATGCCATCAGGATTGCATGCCATCAGGACTGCATGCCATCAGGATTGCATGCCATTCAGGATGAGCATATGCCATCATTAGGACTGCATGCCATCAGGATTGTCATTGCTATCAGGATTGCATGCCATCAGGATTGCATGCCATCAGGATTGCATGCCATCAGGCTTGCGTGCCATCAGGATTGCATGCCATCAGGATTGCATGCCCTCAGGATTGCACGCCATCAGGATTGCACGCCATCAGGATTGCATGCCGTCAGGATTGTACGCCATCAGGATTGCATGCCATCAGGATTGCATGCCATCAGGATTTGCAATGCCATCAGGATTGCATGCCATCAGGATTGCATGCCATCAGGATTGCAATGCCGTCAGGATTGCACGCCATCAGGATTGCAATGCATCAGGATTGCATGCCATCAGGATGGCATGCCATCAGGATTGCATGCCATCAGGATTGCATGCCATCAGGATTGCATGCCATCAGGGTTGCATGCCATCAGGATTGCACGCCATCAGGATTGCATGCCGTCAGGATTGCATGCCATCAGGATTGCATGCCATCAGGATTGCACGCTGTCAGGATTGCACGCTGTCAGGATTGCATGCCGTCAGGATTGCATGCCATCAGGATTGCATGCCATCAGGATTGCATGCCATCAGGACTGCATGCCATCAGGATTGCATGCCATCAGGACTGCATGCCATCAGGATTGCATGCCATCAGGATGGCATGCCATCACGACTGCATGCCATCAGGATTGCATGCTATCAGGATTGCATGCCATCAGGATTGCATGCCATCAGGATTGCACGCCGTCAGGATTGCACGCTGTCAGGATTGCATGCCGTCAGGATTTGCATGCCATCAGGATTGCATGCCATCAGGATTGCATGCCATCAGGACTGCATGCCATCAGGATTGCATGCCATCAGGACTGCATGCCATCAGGATTGCATGCCATCAGGATGGCATGCCATCAGGACTGCATGCCATCAGGATTGCATGCTATCAGGATTGCATGCCATCAGGATTGCATGCCATCAGGATTGCATGCCATCAGGATTGCGTGCCATCAGGGATGTGGGCATGCCTCAGGATTGCATGGATGCATGCCTCAGGATTGGCCATCTGGATTGCACGCCATCAGGATTGCATGCGTCAGGATTGTACGCCATCAGGATTGCATGCCATCAGGATTGCATGCCATCAGGATTGCATGCCATCAGGATTGCATGCCATCAGGATTGCATGCCATCAGGATTGCATGCCGTCAGGATTGCACGCCATCAGGATTGCATGCCATCAGGATTGCATGCCATCAGGATGGCATGCCATCAGGATTGCATGCCATCAGGATTGCATGCCATCAGGATTGCATGCCATCAGGATGGCATGCCATCAGGACTGCATGCCATCAGGATTGCATGCTATCAGGATTGCATGCCATCAGGATTGCATGCCATCAGGATTGCACGCCGTCAGGATTGCAAGCTGTCAGGATTGCATGCCGTCAGGATTGCATGCCATCAGGATTGCATGCCATCAGGATTGCATGCCATCAGGACTGCATGCCATCAGGATTGCATGCCATCAGGACTGCATGCCATCAGGATTGCATGCCATCAGGATGGCATGCCATCAGGACTGCATGCCATCAGGATTGCATGCTATCAGGATTGCATGCCATCAGGATTGCATGCCATCAGGATTGCATGCCATCAGGATTGCGTGCCATCAGGATTGCATGCCATCAGGATTGCATGCCATCAGGATTGCATGCCATCAGGGTTGCATGCCATCAGGATTGCACGCCATCAGGATTGCATGCCGTCAGGATTGCATGCCATCAGGATTGCATGCCATCAGGATTGCATGCCATCAGGATTGTATGCCATCAGGACTGTATGCCATCAGGATTGCGTGCCATCAGGATTGCATGCCATCAGGATTGCATGCCATCAGGATTGCATGCCATCAGGATTGCATGCCATCAGGCAGGATGGCATGCCATCAGGACTGCATGCCATCAGGATTGCATGCCATCAGGATGGCATGCCATCAGGACTGCATGCCATCAGGATTGCATGCTATCAGGATTGCATGCCATCAGGATTGCATGCCATCAGGATTGCATGCCATCAGGATTGCACGCCATCAGGATTGCATGCCGTCAGGATTGCACGCCATCAGGATTGCATGCCATCAGGATGGCATGCCATCAGGATGGCATGCCATCAGGACTGCATGCCATCAGGATTGCATGCTATCAGGATTGCATGCCATCAGGATTGCATGCCATCAGGATTGCATGCCATCAGGATTGCATGCCATCAGGATTGCATGCCGTCAGGATTGCATGCCGTCAGGATTGCATGCCATCGGGATTGCATGCCATCAGGATTGCATGCCATCAGGATTGCATGCCATCAGGATTGCATGCCATCAGGATTGCATGCCATCAGGATTGCATGCCATCAGGATGGCATGCCATTAGGATTGCATGCCATCTGGATTGCATGCCATCAGGATTGCATGCCATCAGGATTGCATGCCATCAGGGTTGCATGCCATCAGGATTGCACGCCATCAGGATTGCATGCCGTCAGGATTGCATGCCATCAGGATGGCATGCCATCAGGACTTCATGCCATCAGGATTGCATGCCATCAGGATTGCATGCCCTCAGGATTGCATGCCATCAGGATTGCATGCCATCAGGATTGCATGCCATCAGGATTGCATGCCATCAGGATTGCATGCCATCAGGGTTGCATGCCATCAGGATTGCACGCCATCAGGATTGCATGCCGTCAGGATTGCATGCCATCAGGATGGCATGCCATCAGGACTTCATGCCATCAGGATTGCATGCCATCAGGATTGCATGCCCTCAGGATTGCATGCCATCAGGATTGCATGCCATCAGGATTGCATGCCATCAGGATTGCATGCCATCAGGATTGCATGCCATCAGGGTTGCATGCCATCAGGATTGCACGCCATCAGGATTGCATGCCGTCAGGATTGCATGCCATCAGGATTGCATGCCATCAGGATTGTATGCCATCAGGATTGCATGCCATCAGGATTGCATGCCATCAGGATGGCATGCCATCAGGACTGCATGCCATCAGGATTGCATGCCATCAGGATTGCATGCCATCAGGATTGCATGCCATCAGGATTGCATGCCATCAGGATTGCATGCCAACAGGATTGCATGCCATCAGGATTGCACGCCATCAGGATTGCATGCCGTCAGGATTGCATGCCATCAGGATTGCATGCCATCAGGATTGTATGCCATCAGGATTGCATGCCATCAGGATTGCATGCCATCAGGATGGCATGCTATCAGGATTGCATGCCATCAGGATTGCATGCCATCAGGATTGCGTGCCATCAGGATGGCATGCCATCAGGACTGCATGCCATCAGGATTGCGTGCCATCAGGATGGCATGCCATCAGGACTGCATGCCATCAGGATTGCATGCTATCAGGATTGCATGCCATCAGGATTGCATGCCATCAGGATTGCACGCCGTCAGGATTGCACGCTGTCAGGATTGCATGCCGTCAGGATTGCATGCCATCAGGATTGCATGCCATCAGGATTGCATGCCATCAGGACTGCATGCCATCAGGATTGCATGCCATCAGGACTGCATGCCATCAGGATTGCATGCCATCAGGATGGCATGCCATCAGGACTGCATGCCATCAGGATTGCATGCTATCAGGATTGCATGCCATCAGGATTGCATGCCATCAGGATTGCATGCCATCAGGATTGCGTGCCATCAGGATTGCATGCCATCAGGATTGCATGCCCTCAGGATTGCACGCCATCAGGATTGCACGCCATCAGGATTGCATGCCGTCAGGATTGTACGCCATCAGGATTGCATGCCATCAGGATTGCATGCCATCAGGATTGCATGCCATCAGGATTGCATGCCATCAGGATTGCATGCCATCAGGATTGCATGCCGTCAGGATTGCACGCCATCAGGATTGCATGCCATCAGGATTGCATGCCATCAGGATGGCATGCCATCAGGATTGCATGCCATCAGGATTGCATGCCATCAGGATTGCATGCCATCAGGGTTGCATGCCATCAGGATTGCACGCCATCAGGATTGCATGCCGTCAGGATTGCATGCCATCAGGATTGCATGCCATCAGGATTGCACGCCGTCAGGATTGCACGCTGTCAGGATTGCATGCCGTCAGGATTGCATGCCATCAGGATTGCATGCCATCAGGATTGCATGCCATCAGGACTGCATGCCATCAGGATTGCATGCCATCAGGACTGCATGCCATCAGGATTGCATGCCATCAGGATGGCATGCCATCAGGACTGCATGCCATCAGGATTGCATGCTATCAGGATTGCATGCCATCAGGATTGCATGCCATCAGGATTGCACGCCGTCAGGATTGCACGCTGTCAGGATTGCATGCCGTCAGGATTGCATGCCATCAGGATTGCATGCCATCAGGATTGCATGCCATCAGGACTGCATGCCATCAGGATTGCATGCCATCAGGACTGCATGCCATCAGGATTGCATGCCATCAGGATGGCATGCCATCAGGACTGCATGCCATCAGGATTGCATGCTATCAGGATTGCATGCCATCAGGATTGCATGCCATCAGGATTGCACGCCGTCAGGATTGCACGCTGTCAGGATTGCATGCCGTCAGGATTGCATGCCATCAGGATTGCATGCCATCAGGATTGCATGCCATCAGGACTGCATGCCATCAGGATTGCATGCCATCAGGACTGCATGCCATCAGGATTGCATGCCATCAGGATGGCATGCCATCAGGACTGCATGCCATCAGGATTGCATGCTATCAGGATTGCATGCCATCAGGATTGCATGCCATCAGGATTGCATGCCATCAGGATTGCGTGCCATCAGGATTGCATGCCATCAGGATTGCATGCCCTCAGGATTGCACGCCATCAGGATTGCACGCCATCAGGATTGCATGCCGTCAGGATTGTACGCCATCAGGATTGCATGCCATCAGGATTGCATGCCATCAGGATTGCATGCCATCAGGATTGCATGCCATCAGGATTGCATGCCATCAGGATTGCATGCCGTCAGGATTGCACGCCATCAGGATTGCATGCCATCAGGATTGCATGCCATCAGGATGGCATGCCATCAGGATTGCATGCCATCAGGATTGCATGCCATCAGGATTGCATGCCATCAGGATGGCATGCCATCAGGACTGCATGCCATCAGGATTGCATGCTATCAGGATTGCATGCCATCAGGATTGCATGCCATCAGGATTGCACGCCGTCAGGATTGCACGCTGTCAGGATTGCATGCCGTCAGGATTGCATGCCATCAGGATTGCATGCCATCAGGATTGCATGCCATCAGGACTGCATGCCATCAGGATTGCATGCCATCAGGACTGGATGCCATCAGGATTGCATGCCATCAGGATGGCATGCCATCAGGACTGCATGCCATCAGGATTGCATGCTATCAGGATTGCATGCCATCAGGATTGCATGCCATCAGGATTGCATGCCATCAGGATTGCGTGCCATCAGGATTGCATGCCATCAGGATTGCATGCCCTCAGGATTGCACGCCATCAGGATTGCACGCCATCAGGATTGCATGCCGTCAGGATTGTACGCCATCAGGATTGCATGCCATCAGGATTGCATGCCATCAGGATTGCATTAGGCTTGAGCAACGGGTCGGGTCGGGTCGGGTAACCCGACCCGAACCCGACTTTTTGACGGGTCGGGTCGACATTTGCGGAAGGTTGACCCGACCCTCGGGTACCCGACCCGACCCGACCCGACCCGACCGATAAAACCCGACCCGTCGGGTCGGCTTATTACCCGTCCCTGCCCCTATGCCAACCCGACCCGACCCGACCCGAAATCGGGTTAGGTAGAACCCGACCTATTGAACACGGGTCGGGTTGACATTTCCTGAACTCCGACCCGACTTGACCCGACCCGACCCGACCCGAACCCGACATCGGGTAGGGCAAAGTCGGGTCGGGTCGGGTCGGGTCGGGTTCATGCTCAAGCCTAGATTGCATGCCATCAGGATTGCATGCCGTCAGGATTGCACGCCATCAGGATTGCATGCCATCAGGATTGCATGCCATCAGGGTTGCATGCCATCAGGATTGCACGCCATCAGGATTGCATGCCGTCAGGATTGCATGCCATCAGGATTGCATGCCATCAGGATTGCACGCCGTCAGGATTGCACGCTGTCAGGATTGCATGCCGTCAGGATTGCATGCCATCAGGATTGCATGCCATCAGGATTGCATGCCATCAGGACTGCATGCCATCAGGATTGCATGCCATCAGGACTGCATGCCATCAGGATTGCATGCCATCAGGATGGCATGCCATCAGGACTGCATGCCATCAGGATTGCATGCTATCAGGATTGCATGCCATCAGGATTGCATGCCATCAGGATTGCATGCCATCAGGATTGCGTGCCATCAGGATTGCATGCCATCAGGATTGCATGCCATCAGGATTGCATGCCCTCAGGATTGCACGCCATCAGGATTGCATGCCGTCAGGATTGCACGCCATCAGGATTGCATGCCATCAGGATTGTATGCCATCAGGATTGCATGCCATCAGGATTGCATGGCCTCAGGATTGCACGCCATCAGGATTGCATGCCGTCAGGATTGCACGCCATCAGGATTGCATGCCATCAGGATTGCATGCCGTCAGGATGGCATGCCATCAGGATTGCATGCCATCAGGATTGCATGCCATCAGGATTGCATGCCATCAGGGTTGCATGCCATCAGGATTGCACGCCATCAGGATTGCATGCCGTCAGGATTGCATGCCATCAGGATTGCATGCCATTAGGATTGTATGCCATCAGGATGGCACGATGGAAAATCACGAGCACGTAGAAGCTGGTGTAGGAAGGTGCGGTGTAAGATTCTCGGGTCAGGCTGGGTGGCACAGAACCCAAGTGACTGTAGGAAGGTGGCTGCAAGCTTGCACCATCCGTCCGAGCGTTTTGACTTGCAGCCACACGATGGAAGGAATCTCTGTCTTGACTCCCTCACTCCGCATTTCTCCCCTACCCCCGTGCCGCCTGGCATGGCATGGCATGACATGGCAGGCACTTCAAGCGGTTTGAGGACGATCACGCGGTGATGGTGTTTGAGGATGGCGAGCACTGCTGGAACGGACCGGCGAGGAGCATCAAGGTGAGAAACGTTGACAGTACACATGTAACGGCACAGTGATCAGCGACACACAAGTGAACTTTCTTAAGAATCTTTGCTCCTTCCCGTATCACCTCGCACCATCCCCTTCACCTTCTTGACTCCCCTCCCTTCTCCCCTCCCTTCTCCCCTCATTTCTCCCCTCCCTTCTCCCCTCCCTTCTCCCCTCCCTTCTCCCCTCCCTTCTCCCCTTCCGTCTCCCCTCCCTTCTCCCCTCCCTTCTCCCCTCCCTTCTCCCCTCCCTTCTCCCCTCCCTTCTCCCCTCTCGTCTCCCCTCCCTTCTCCCCTCCCTTCTCCCCTCCCTTCTCCCCTCCCGTCTCCCCTCCCTTCTCCCCTCCCTTCTCCCCTCCCTTCTCCCCTCCCTTCTCCCCTCCCTTCTCCCTTCCCTTCTCCCCTCCCTTCTCCCCTCCCTTCTCTCCTCCCTTCTCCCCTCCCGTCTCCCCTCCCTTGTCCTCACCCTTCTCCCCTCCCTTCTCCTCTGCCTCCTATCGCTCACGCCACCCTCAACCCCCCGACCCATCTAACCCTTCCTTCGAGCTGTGCCGTACCATTTCTCACCTTCCTCCCACCGCCGCCACCCCCTGGTGTGTGCGCACCGCTATGGCAGGTGCACTTTAAGTGCGGCGGGCAGGTGGCAGTACTGGCAGTGGACGAACCCAATCGATGCGAGTCAGTGCCCCTGGGAACCCCATCCCCCCCTCAACTCGCACTCATTCACTCTCTCCCACCTACCATCCACTCATTCACTCTCTCCCACCTACCATCCACTCATTCACTCTCTCCCACCTACCATCCACTCATTCACTCTCTTCCACCTACCATCCACTCATTCTTCTCCGCTCTTCCCTATCCTTTCTCCCTCCTTTCACCCCCTCCCTCACTCCTCTCTTCTCACTGTCACTCACTTGCTCTTCCCATGATTTGAGCGAGAAAGGTTGGAAGGGGGAATGAGGCTAGAGGTTGTGAGTTGAATCACGTGAGGCGTGGTGGAAAAGGCTTGTTTCACAAGGCCATCGACAAGCCGAGCGCAATGAGAGAAAAACAGCTGGGTGATTGCGATAAATTGTGATAAATTGTTCTTCAGTCCCGCCATAACCTTCAGTCCCGCCATAACCTTCAGTCCCGCCATAACCTTCAGTCCCGCCATAACCTTCAGTCCCGCCATAACCTTCCACGTCAAACCAAGATATGATATGCCCTCTTCGCACCCATCATGCTGCCCATATCATCCATCACCTCATTGCCTCCCATGCACCTCATTGCCTCCCATGCACCTCATCACCATCACCTCCCTTCCCCATCCCTCACTCGCCCCTCAGCTCCCCTCCACTGTTTCCTCTGCTGTGCTGCTCGTTCTCACCTATCCCCCTGTGCTGCTCGTTCCCACCTATCCCCCTGTGCTGCTCGTTCTCACCTATCCCCCTGTGCTGCTCGTTCTCACCTATCCCCCTGTGCTGCTCGTTCCCACCTATCCCCCTGTGCTGCTCGTTCTCACCTATCCCCCTGTGCTGCTCCTTCCCACCTATCCCCCTGTGCTGCTCGTTCTCACCTATCCCCTGTGCTGCCTTCTCCCTATCCCCCTGTGCTGCTCGTTCTCACCTATCCCCCTGTGCTGCTCGTTCTCACCTATCCCCCTGTGCTGCTCGTTCTCACCTATCCCCCTGTGCTGCTCGTTTTCACCTATCCCCCTGTGCTGCTCGTTCTCACCTATCCCCCTGTGCTGCTCGTTCTCACCTATCCCCCTGTGCTGCTCCTTCCCACCTATCCCCCTGTGCTGCTCGTTCTCACCTATCCCCCTGTGCTGCTCGTTTTCACCTATCCCCCTGTGCTGCTCGTTCCCACCTATCCCCCTGTGCTGCTCGTTCTCACCTATCCCCCTGTGCTGCTCCTTCCCACCTATCCCCCTGTGCTGCTCGTTCTCACCTATCCCCCTGTGCTGCTCCTTCCCACCTATCCCCCTGTGCTGCTCGTTCTCACCTATCCCCCTGTGCTGCTCGTTCTCACCTATCCCCCTGTGCTGCTCGTTCTCACCTATCCCCCTGTGCTGCTCGTTCCCACCTATCCCCCTGTGCTGCTCCTTCCCACCTATCCCCCTGTGCTGCTCGTTCTCACCTATCCCCCTGTGCTGCTCGTTCTCACCTATCCCCCTGTGCTGCTCGTTCTCACCTATCCCCCTGTGCTGCTCGTTCCCACCTATCCCCTGTGCTGCTCGTTTCACCTATCCCCCTGTGCTGCTCGTTCCCACCTATCCCCCTGTGCTGCTCGTTCTCACCTATCCCCCTGTGCTGCTCGTTCTCACCTATCCCCCTGTGCTGCTCGTTCTCACCTATCCCCCTGTGCTGCTCGTTCTCACCTATCCCCCTGTGCTGCTCGTTCTCACCTATCCCCCTGTGCTGCTCGTTCCACCTATCCCCCTGTGCTGCTCGTTCCACCTATCCCCCTGTGCTGCTCCTCCCACCTATCCCCCTCCGCCGCTCCCCCCCCTGTCTCTCCTTCCCACCTATCCCCCTGTGCTGCTCGTTCTCACCTATCCCCCTGTGCTGCTCGTTCTCACCTATCCCCCTGTGCTGCTCGTTCTCACCTATCCCCCTGTGCTGCTCGTTCCCACCTATCCCCCTGTGCTGCTCGTTTCACCTATCCCCCTGTGCTGCTCTTCCCACCTATCCCCCTGTGCTGCTCGTTCTCACCTATCCCCCTGTGCTGCTCGTTCTCACCTATCCCCCTGTGCTGCTCGTTCTCACCTATCCCCCTGTGCTGCTCGTTTCACCTATCCCCTGTGCTGCTCGTTCCCACCTATCCCCCTGTGCTGCTCGTTCTCACCTATCCCCCTGTGCTGCTCGTTCCCACCTACCCCCTGTGCTCTCCCCCTATCCCCCTGTGCTGCTCGTTCTCACCTATCCCCTGTCTGCTCGTTCCACCTATCCCCTGTGCTGCTCGTCCCACCATCCCCTGCTCCGTTTCACCTATCCCCCTGTGCTGCTCGTTCCCACCTATCCCCCGCCCCCACCTATCCCCTGTGCTGCTCGTTTCACCTATCCCCCTGTGCTGCTCGTTCCCACCTATCCCCCTGTGCTGCTCGTTCTCACCTATCCCCCTGTGCTGCTCGTTCTCACCTATCCCCCTGTGCTGCTCGTTTTCACCTATCCCCCTGTGCTGCTCGTTCCCACCTATCCCCCTGTGCTGCTCGTTCTCACCTATCCCCCTGTGCTGCTCGTTCCACCTATCCCCTGTGCTGCTCGTTCCCACCTATCCCCCTGTGCTGCTCGTTCTCACCTATCCCCCTGTGCTGCTCGTTCTCACCTATCCCCCTGTGCTGCTCGTTCCCACCTATCCCCCTGTGCTGCTCGTTCTCACCTATCCCCCTGTGCTGCTCGTTTTCACCTATCCCCCTGTGCTGCTCGTTCCCACCTATCCCCCTGTGCTGCTCGTTCTCACCTATCCCCCTGTGCTGCTCGTTCTCACCTATCCCCCTGTGCTGCTCGTTTTCACCTATCCCCCTGTGCTGCTCGTTCCCACCTATCCCCCTGTGCTGCTCGTTCTCACCTATCCCCCTGTGCTGCTCGTTCCCACCTATCCCCCTGTGCTGCTCGTTCCCACCTATCCCCCTGTGCTGCTCGTTCTCACCTATCCCCCCTGTGCTGCTCGTTCTCACCTATCCCCCCTGTGCTGCTCGTTCCCACCTATCCCCCTGTGCTGCTCGTTCTCACCTATCCCCCTGTGCTGCTCGTTTTCACCTATCCCCCTGTGCTGCTCGTTCCCACCTATCCCCCTGTGCTGCTCGTTCTCACCTATCCCCCTGTGCTGCTCCTTCCCACCTATCCCCCTGTGCTGCTCGTTCTCACCTATCCCCCTGTGCTGCTCGTTCTCACCTATCCCCCTGTGCTGCTCGTTCTCACCTATCCCCCTGTGCTGCTCGTTCCCACCTATCCCCCTGTGCTGCTCGTTCCCACCTATCCCCCTGTGCTGCTCGTTCTCACCTATCCCCCTGTGCTGCTCGTTCTCACCTATCCCCCTGTGCTGCTCGTTCCCACCTATCCCCCTTGCTGCTCGTTCCCACCTATCCCCCTGTGCTGCTCGTTCTCACCTATCCCCCTGTGCTGCTCGTTCCCACCTATCCCCCTGTGCTGCTCGTTCTCACCTATCCCCCTGTGCTGCTCGTTCTCCACCTATCCCCCTGTGCTGCTCGTTCTCACCTATCCCCCTGTGCTGCTCGTTCCCACCTATCCCCCTGTGCTGCTCGTTCTCACCTATCCCCCTGTGCTGCTCGTTCTCACCTATCCCCCTGTGCTGCTCGTTCCCACCTATCCCCCTGTGCTGCTCGTTCTCACCTATCCCCCTGTGCTGCTCCTTCCCACCTATCCCCCTGTGCTGCTCGTTCTCACCTATCCCCCTGTGCTGCTCGTTCCCACCTATCCCCCTGTGCTGCTCGTTCTCACCTATCCCCCTGTGCTGCTCGTTCTCACCTATCCCCCTGTGCTGCTCGTTCCCACCTATCCCCCTGTGCTGCTCGTTCTCACCTATCCCCCTGTGGTGCTCGTTCCCACCTATCCCCCTGTGCTGCTCGTTCTCACCTATCCCCCTGTGCTGCTCGTTCTCACCTATCCCCCTGCCTCCCGCTATGCGCCACCAGGTATGCTGCCATCGTGACCACGCCCTCCGTCTGCACCGAGGAAAAGGCCAAGGTGCGCCGCCCTTCTGTCGCTAGCTTCATTTCTCCCACGTCCTCCTCACCGCCCTCCTTCCAACCCCCTGGTTTCTCTCCGCCTCTATCGGCCTCCTGCCTTCCTCCCTCTTCACTCGCTTCGCCTTGCCACCCTGCCATCGTGCCACCCGGCCGTCGTGCCACCCTGCCGTCATGGTTCTTCTTGGCATCATCCGTTGGGCCTAACGCTTCAACCAGAGCAGTCGCTGCTGCTGTTGTGTCCTTCTCCCCGTTCATTGCGTGCCCCTCGTCCTTCTCCCTGTTTCTGTTCGTCTTTGTCTCTTGACCTGTGCCCTGACTAGCGTGGTGCTGCTGGATGTTTTCCCGCCGCACGACTGTGATTGCCAGCTGCACCACTGTGATTGCCAGCTGCACCACTGATTGCCAGCTGCACCACTGTGATTGCCAGCTGCACCACTGTGATTGCCAGCTGCACCACTGTGATTGCCAGCTGCACCACTGTGATTGCCAGCTGCACCACTGTGATTGCGGCTTCACCAGTGATTGTTCACGCCCTCATTTCCTCACACCCACTCCCCCTCATTTTCGCATTCCTTGGTTCTCTTACTGTTCGCCAGGAGTTGGAGCAGCAGCTGGAGGCGATGCTGAGGGACATACAGCCTGCGCACGATGAGCTCTGATGCCTCCTTGCCTAGGATGACCTAAATGCACCCACCCAGCCATCGATGAGTCCTCAGGCGAGACTGGTTGTGTAAGGGCAATGGGAGGAGTTAATTTCCGGGTAGGGCAGAGGCAAAAAATTGGGGAACACAACTGACACAGAAGGATTACGCTTCGTGCGCAACGAGTGCCGTGCGATGAGACGACTTGTCGCAAAATAACCCAGAGAGCAAAATTCGCAGGGCCAGCATGCTACATACTACTGGGCTGAGAAAAGCCCTAGGATCTCTGGCAGAGACTGTCAACTTATACATATTATCTATGTAGAAGTTATAGGCTAGACTGAGGTATGCTTCTAGTGAGTACAACCAACTAGTATTTGTTCTAGGTTTCCACCTCTAGTAAATCATTCGTTTCTACGTTAACATGGTATCACGCTTAGGTTAGGATCCCCCCGCCTACCGCTTCCGCCCGTCGCGCCTCCTAGGCCCCGTCGCGCCCCCTAGGCCCCGTCGCGCCCCCCCTGGGCCCCGTCGCGCTCGTTAGGCCCCGTCGCGCCCCCCCTGGGCCCCGTCGTGCCCGCTGGGCCCCGTCGCGCCTCCTAGGCCCCGTCGCGCTCCCCCTGGGCCCCGTCGCGCCCACTGGGTCCCGTCGCGACCCCTAGGCCCTAACTCGCCCCCGCTGGGCCCCGTTGCGCCTCCTAGGCCCCGTCGCGCCCCCCATGGGCCCCGTCGAGCCCGCTGAGCCCCGTCGTGCCTCCTAGGCATCGTCGCGCCTCCTAAGCCCCGTCGCGTCCCCCCCCTCTGGGCCCCGTCGCGCCCGTTCGGCCCCGTCGCGCCCCTCCTAGGCCCCGTCGCGCCCGCTGGGCCCCTTCGCGCTTCCTAGGCCCCGTCGCGCCTGCTAGGCCCCTTCGCGCCCCCCCTGGGCCCCGTCGCGACCGTTAGGCCCCGTCGCGGCCCCCCTGGGCCCCGTCGTGCCCGCTGGTCCCCGTCGCGCCTCCTCGGCCCCGTCGCGCCCCCCCTGGGCCCCGTCGTGCCCGCTGGGCCCCGTCGCGCCCCTTAGGCCCCGTCGCGCCCGCTGGCCCCTGTCGCGCCTGCTGTTAGCGCTCGCCCGCCTGGCCTCCTCCTAGTGCCGCCCGGCCTCCTCCTAGTGCCGCCCGGCCTCCTCCTAGTGCCGCCCGGCCCCTTCCTAGCGCCGCCCGGCCTCTCCTCAGCGCTGCCCGGCCCCTCCTCGTGCCCGACCGGCCCCAGCAGCACCAGCCTGGCCCCTCCCAGCACCAGCCCGGCCCTAGAGCACCTGCCCGCCTCCCCTGCTCGGCCTGCCGTGTCCTCTCGGGCCCTGTGTCTTCTGCTTGCCTGCGCTGGGACGCCTTGCTGCTGCCCTACTGGAGAGTGCTGCCGCCGTGTCCCCGCGCCGCTGTGCTCCTGTGCCGCTGAGGAGCTGTGCTGCTGTGCCGCTGTGTCGCTGAGGAGCTGTGCCGCTGACCCTGCACGATGGCTGACTTTGTGCTCCGCCTGGACGCTGAGGGCCACGCGGTTGACTTCGCCGCCTGGCTCTCCGATCTTCGCCGCCAGCTTACAGGTCAGCGCCAGGATGGCCACTCTCTGGTTGTCCATGCTGATGGCTTGCTCCCCCGTCCCCCTGCACCTACTCCCCTCCCTGCTGACCCCTCCTCTGATGACCGTGAGGCTTTCTCTACTGCTGCGCTAGCCTGTGCGGTCTGGGACTCACGCGATGCAGTAGCTCAGGTTGCTATTAGTCACGCCCTCCCTGTGTCTGAGCGCTCGCGTTTTGCTACTGTTGAAACGGCCAAAGCTTATTTAGACGCCGTTATTGCTCGCTATTCCACCCCTGCCTCCGCTTCTGCTGGCCGCTTGCTCTTTCCGATGCTGTTCCCAGACCTGGCTGCCTTCCCTACTGTCGCAGATTTTGCCACTCATTTGCGTGCCCTAGAGACTCGCTATCGCACTGCCAGCACTGCTGCCCAGCTCACTGCGCTCCCCCCTCCTTTCTGCATGACGCTCTATTTTATCGCTATGCGCCTGCCAGACCGCCTCGCTAGTGCTCGCGACCACTTTCTTAGCCAGCACCCGGGTGACCTCACCCTGACCGCCTTTGTCGACACCCTCACTGAGATCGAGACTCGCCAGCGCACTATCGCTCAGTCGAGCGGTGCGCCGGCAGTCTCTATCTTTCACGGTTGTGCCCCATCCCCGTGCACGTTCACTGACGTTTCGGCTGCGGTCGCCACGGCGACCCCTCTTACCGAGACGGCTGCTGCTGTCCACCCGCAGCAGCGCTCGCGTCGCGGTGGCCGTGGCCGCCAGGGAGGTAGGGGTGGTGACGCAGGTGGTAGTGGTCGTGGTGGTGGTGACGGTAGTCCGCCTGAGGGGACTACCACCGGTGGGCAGGAGCAGCAGTCCCAGCAGCAGCAGGACCAGCCCCAGCCGCAGCCGCCGTCCCAGCAGCACCCGCCGCAGCCGTGGGCTCGTCTCCCGCCTGGTTGGCCCGGCACCTCCGGAGGCGGTGGCCGTGGTGGCGGCCCGCGCAGCTTGGCGTCTACCAGCGGCTCCAGTGCTGTGACCTGCCAGTACCAGCTTCAGACCGGGCCTCTCCGCGGCACTCTGTGCCGCCGCCCGCACCCGACCGCCCACTGTTTCCGCCGCCTCGACGATCTTTTTCGTCGTCGCTTTGGCCCGGCCCCGGACCTCCCTGACTAGCACAGCCTGCTCCGCCAGGGCGTGCCGATCTTTGAGTTAGACATGGATCAGATAGGTGCTGCTTTGCATGCTTTGTATGCTGACGCTTCTAGTGTTGATGGATCTTACTACCATGTGTACTCTAGTTTAGGTGTTTCACCCTTGTGTAGCTTAGCTTCCCCTGCTGCGACAGGCGTAGGACTGCCTAGGTTGCCTAGTCTAGACGCTGCACCGGCTCCGTCCGCGGCCTCCGCCACTGCGTCGCTGTCCTTCACTCTTGACTCTGGTGCTTCTGCCTGCTTCTTCCGCGACCGTTCCACGCTCACGCCGCTTGCTGCACCTGCTGTTGTCTCTCTCGCTGACCCCTCTGCGGGTCCGGTCGTCGCGCGCAGTTCTACGTCCCTTCCCTGTCCGGCAGTTCCCTCGGGCTCCCTTACTGGCCTCCACGTTCCCTCGTTCTCCAGGAACCTGGTTGGTGTCGGCTGTCTCCAGGACCTCGGCGTCACCACCACGTTCCCCGGGCACGAGCGGTTCGCTGTCTGTTCTGAGGCTGTCTCCGGTTCCCCCCTTGCGACGTTCCCCCGGGACCCGGTGTCCGGTCTGTTTACCCTACACACCGCTTCCCCCCCGGTTGGTGCGTCCTCCCAGGTCGCTGCAGCTTGCTCGTGTCGGTCCCTCACTCACCCCTCCCTTCTCTGGCACCACCGCTTAGGTCACCCTGCTCTCCCGCGTCTGCGTCACATGTCCCAGCACGGTCTTGTCTTAGGTCTCCCCGCGTCGCTCCCTGCCCTTCCTCCCTCGACTGCGCCACCGTGCACGCCTTGCGTCGAGGGTCGGCTCCGCCGTGCTCCTCACTCCTCCTCGCTGCGTCCTGCTACTGCCCCCCTTCAGACCCTGCACTTGGACGTTTGGGGCCCTGCCCCCGTCCCCGGACCGCGCGGTGAGCGCTACTTCCTTGTGCTCGTTGACGACTACACGCGCTACACCACGGTGTTTCCCCTGGAGCGGAAGGCCGACGTGCCCGACGTTCTTCTCCCGTGGGTTGTAGCTGCGCGTCTCCACCGCGGTCTCCCCGTGTTGTGTCTCCACTCCGACCGTGGCGGCGAGTTCGCCTCTGGTCGGCTTGGACAGTTCTGTCGTGCGGAGGGCATCACCCAGTCGTACACGTTGCCGGACTCGCCACAGCAGAATGGGGTTGCTGAGCGCCGCATCGGCTTGGTCATGGAGGTCGCCCGTACCTCCATGATCCATGCCGATGCCCCCCATTTTCTGTGGCCGTTCACTGTTCGCTACGCGGCTCACCAGCTTAACTTGTGGCCACGCTCCCAGCGGCCGCAGGTTTCGCCGACCCTCCTTTGGACCGGGTCCCCCGGTGACGCGTCTGCGTTCCACGTCTGGGGCTGCCTTGCTCACGTTCGTGCCTCTGGCACGGACAAGCTCACTGCCCGCACTGTCCCCTGTGTCTTCCTCGGCTTCCCCCTGGACTCGTCTGACTGGCTTTTCTACCACCCGCCGTCTCACCGCTTCCTCCACTCTCGTGACGTCACCTTTGACGAGTCCGTCTCCTTCTACCGCCGCTTCCCTCACCGAGGTCTCCCAGTTGCCCCCCCCCTTTTCCTTGCTCCCTCTCCCCCGGTAGCCCCTGCCCCTCTCCCGCCTCGTCCTGCCCCGTCTGGTGTCTCCCACGTCACTCCCCTCCCGTCGGTTGTCCCCGTTGAGGAGTCTGCTGACTCTGGTGGTACCCCCGGTCCGTCCTTGCCGCGTCCCCCTTCCCCAGTGCCTCCGCCCCCACTGTCGCAGTCGCCGCCCCCGCTGCCGCCGCAGCCGTCGCCGCTGTCGCCGCCACTGCCGCCGCTGCTCTCGGCCCCTGGGGGTGCTGGTGTGGAGGAGGGTGTTCGTCCTGCGGCTTCTGGGGGTGCCGCTGGTGTTGGAGGGGGTTCTCGCTCTTGGGGTGTTGGTTCTGGGGGTGCTGCTGTTGAGTGTTCTGCCGACGGTCGTTCTGCCTCTGCTGGTCCGAGAGTTCCGGCCCAGCCGTCGTCGCCGCCACAGCAGCCGTCGCCGCCGGTTTCCGCTCTCCGCCTGCTCGGCCTTCCCTCCCCGGACCGCGCGCCGGTGTCTCCCCCACCGCCTCCTGACCTCCCTGTCTACGGTCCTGTGTTCCCGCCGCCAGACTCGTCTCCGGCCCGTCTTCCTCCTCGTTCCCCTCCTGTGTCTCCTCCGCTGTCCCCTGACCCTACCCCTCCGTCTCACGTTTGGGCTCGCCGTCCCTCCCGTGCTCGTCCCGTCTCTCCTGTCCTGCCCACCCACCCTATGTTGCTCCGTTCCCACTCGTCTCGTCCTCCCCTCCTCCCGTCCCCTCCTCCCTCGTCCCTTGCTGTTGCACCTCCTCCGTTCTCTGACTACCTCCGTGCTGCTCGTCCCCTTGTCCCTCGGGTCCTTGCCTCTCTTGTTACCGACCCTGCTGTTCCTGTCTCGCGCCTTGACGCGCTTGTCGCTGCTGTCGCTGACTTCGCTTCTACCCGCCGCCTTGACTACGCTACCGCTCTGGTCTCTGACCCTGCCCGTCCTCTGTCCGTCGGGGGTGCTCCTGCCCTTGGCAGTGACGTCCTAGAGGACAGGCAGTACGAGCTGGCTTTCCTTTCCGAGGCTGCTCCCCATCTCTGCTCCATGCTGTTAGTCCCCGAGGGTGACCCAGACGCCTTCGA